ACAAGATACTTCCCGCAACGTTTTATGAAATTTACCAAGCAAGGTTACTTGATGAGTTACTGGTAAAAATATTCATATATATTAATAGTTCCCAGAAAATGAAAACATGAGCCCCAGTAACAAAAGTTCTGTAAAAGACCACATTCCTACCACCAGAATGTAATCACCCTATGTCATTTAAAGCTGAAAGCAAATTTTACCTTCTCTTTAAGGGTATATAAAACTGACATGAAAGGATTTTTCTGCCTCCACTTTTGCTTTCCTAAAATCTCTTCTCTACAGTGAAGCAAGAGCAAAACATAGATTGGATCATGTCACTACTCTACATAAAAACCTCAAGTGGTTTTTCCATCACACTTAGGATAAATTTTTTAAAATCCTACTGTGGCCTATAGGCACCCTGCTTATATTATACTCTCCTTCCCTCAGCATGCCCAGACATCTCAGAATTGTCTTTCCTGGATATGCCAAGCTCACTTCCACCCCAGGGCCTCTGCCCATCCCTGCAACATACTTCCCCCAGATCTTCTAAGGTGGCTTCCTCCTGTCATTCAGGTCTGCCCAGCTGCCACCTCCTGTCTTAGGCTTTCCCTAAGCATCTAAAGTAACCTCTCCTTCAGCCCCTCTCTCACTCTACCTGCCCATGTCATACTCTGCTCTGCATTCTTTACAGTACTACCCCTCTCTGAATTGACCTTGTTTGTTTTCTGTTGACCTCAGATAAACACCGTGAAAGCTGCCTCTCTTCTTCACCACAGTATCTCCTGCATCTACAGCTGTGCCTAGCATATTCCAGAGGCTCAACATTTACTCAATGAATAAAATGCATAGTGACTCAAGTTCAATACCATAAAATTGTAATACTATATAAAATATAGAAATAGGGCTTACAATCTTTCTTTTGAAGCACATCTAAAGTTTAGATTCAAAACCAAATGGTCACCTTAGTACAGATGGCATGAAGGAGAAAACTCACACAAAAGGGGTTCAGCAATGGCAAGGGAGGCAGATCTTTTCAGCAGAGGATCCTTGTCTTCCCTTGATCCCTTACAGGTAATATATACACGTCCCATTCACAAAGCTGAAGAACTAGAAGTTAAACCTAGTCTTGAGAAGAATGATTTTTGCCCTGTAACCAGCAATTCTAGTGTGATCTATAACTAAGCCTGTATAAAGCATGGGATGGATAATGTCAAATTATCTACAATGTATTATTAAAAATACATTTGCTTAAAAGTAAGTTATGTTTTCGTTTTTTTTTTTTAATCAACTTTTAAGTTCCAGGGGTACATATGCAGGATATGCAGGTTTGTTACATAGGTAAATGTGTGCCACGTTGGTTTGATGCACAGATCAACCCATCACCCAAGTATTAAGCCCAGCGCCCATTAGCTGTTCTTGATGTTCTCCCCTGACCTCACAGGCCCCAGAGTGTGTTGTTCCCCTTCATATGTCCATGTATTTTCATTGTTCAACTCCTAATAATAAGTGGGAACATGCAGTGTTTGGTTTTCTGTTTCTGCATTAGTGCACTGAGGATAACAGCTTCCAGCTCCATTCCAGAGTCTACAAAGAACTTAAATTTACGAGAAAAAAAATTTTTAAGTGAGCAAAGGACATGAACATTTTCTCACGTATATACACATTATTGGGTCAATGTGGTAAGTGCATTGTGTACAGGATCTCATTTATTTCTGCAAGGTCGCTGATAGTCTCTCATCTGGAGGAGAAAACCAAGTCTGAGAGAGGTTAAATAACTAGCCTACAGACTAGGCGAAAGAGAGATGGTCTTTGAACACAAATTTTTTATGCGGTGGTTAAGGGGTATCCTCTTTGACTCCAATATGTTTAAAAAGTTTTAAGGTTACTATTGTTTTGAATGCCTTCGAATGTGACAAGTATGATCTACCGATCCCTACTGTGCTAGACCCAGCCTGATCTAACGTTTATATTACCAGCCTGGCCCCTTCTAAAGGAGCTTGAAACTTTAGTAGGGGCCCCTTTAGTAGGGGCCAGGCTGGCAATATAAATGTTATATATTACCTGCTGCTTCTCTACAAAGAGGCTTCTGCCCTGTTTGTACCAATGGCAGGATGACTTGAAGCTCTTCGTGGACATGCGATGAGGGCGGGGGTGTTGATGGATATTGTCTTAGCTTTTGCCTTATGTGGGATTTTTAAGAAATGTGCAGAAAAAAAAAAAAAAAACAGGAAAGTGTATTAGGAGAAGGCAGGATAGAAGTTTTCCGTACGTGTAGAAAGCAGGAGAATGGAGCAAGTGACTGCTGGAAGCAAAACTCTAAGAAAGTAACAATTTTACATGGAGCTTAAGAAAGATTTTGCTGTGTAATGTCCTCTCCCATCTCCCAAGTCATATTTGGTAAAGATGTCATTGTTGGGCTTTTTCTTTTCCATGGGACAATGCACTAAAAAGGCCTCAAGGGAAAAAGCAAGTCATCTCTGGAAAGATCAGCCAGAATTTGTAACAAAAAGAGTGGGAAAGTTGGAATCAGATGGTTTTAGGCTTCCAAAAAAGCTCTTTTTCACAGCCTTAGCTTCCTCCTTTGTAAAATGTAAAAAAAAAAAATAAAATAAAATAAAATAGTTTCTTCTTTGAAAAGTTGTTGTGAGAACTAAATAACACTCATGAGGGCATTGTATGAATCTTGGCACATTCTAGGCCCTCTTTTTATATTGAACTAAATGATCTTCTCTGTAATTCCCATGAATTGATTCCAATTCTATTCTGCAGAACATTGATTCTTTAACCTTTTTTATGTAATGGTGCTCCAGTTTGTCTAGATCCTTTAAGAAGAGAAAATACATCCTAACATTTTTGTATCTAGTTGCTCTCGAGCTTAAAATGATGTCATTTTTCAAGTATTGCTTTTATTATACAATAAAAACATATCTAGAAGAGAAACAAGATAAATATTAAAAGTTAAGCTAGTTACTGAACAATTTTCTTAAATATTTAAGAAAAATATCCTCATTAATATAGTGGTCTGGCTGTGCCGTTGGCCAAAAAAAATTTTTTTAAATAATAAAAAAATAAAAAAAAGAAATAAGATCAACAAACATTTGCCCATGACAAGTTTTCTAAAGGCAAAGGATCTAATTTGGTGATTAACCATAGTGAGCACTCATTAGGTGTCAGGGATGTACCAGTTCTTCTACTGTATTTGAGTGTTTTTAGTTATGAATAACCAAATACAAAAATAAAAGTAGTTTAAACAATGAGGAGCATTCATTATTACTCTTAAAAATAAGTTCCCAAGGTAGGCAATTGCCGGCATTGCTCAATGGCTTTACAATGTAAACAACCCTGCTGCTTGCTATCAATCCTTTTCTCTACATTACCTTGGTTCTTTGCAAGATAACCTGGCAATTCCAGGCATATATATGGACCTAACAACATATGGCTGAGGAAGGAGTTTTCTTTCTTCTGTGATTCTTTTTATCAGGGGAAAGCCCTTCCATCCCCTCAAGGCTTCTCGGGTCCCTTTATCCAGAATTGGGATACCTATCTATGCCCCAGGCAGTGCTTCTCAATTTTTTTCACACCATGACACAAATAGAAAGATAATGTTTTTATGACACAGAGGGGTACCTGGGTAATTGTTGCTTGTGGCCAGTCATACCATCCCAGGGCTTTAGCAGCTCAGCCTCACTTGAATGTCCTAAGAGCTTAAGGGATCAATACCTTATCATAGCTATAACCCATCTGAGACATACCAGGGTGTGCTGGCACATAGATTGGTATGCTCTGCTCTAAGCTTCAAGGGAGGGTGAGCGAGCATGCATCCATATACAAGTTCTAGTGAGAGAAGGATTTGCCAACGAGGAGGAAGAAGTAGGAAGTGGTGGGGCAACCAACTGCATCAGTCATTTTTTTAAGGGTGCCTCATCTATTCTAATTTTCATAACACATTCTAGGAGGAAGTGTTTTGTGGAGGTTAAAACCGAGGCCAATAATTTAAATGATTTGCCTGAGGTCATAGAATCCATGAGTAGTTCAGTTGACACAACAGATGCAGATCCAGGGGTGTACTGGGAAATGCTTAACAACCACCTTTTCAAATGTAGTTCCAACATGGCTGTGAGTTTTTTCTTTTAAGATAAAAATAAAACAACAAATATGTATGTTAAAGCTTATTTGTCAATGATGCAAGTGGCTTCATTGCTAAACTGGATGTTTTTGTGCTATCCATCACATAACAGTTATAGACACAACATGTCCTTTACATTTAATCTGCATAAAACAGTTTCTCTGTCACTTAAGTCTAGACCAAGCTTGTCCAACCCCAGGCCTGCAGGCTGCATACAGCCCAGGATGGCTTTGAATGCAGCCCAACACAAATTTCTAAACTTTCATAAAATATTATGAGATTTTGTGTGTGTGTGTGTATGTGTGTGTGTGATTTTGTTTTGTTTTGTTTTATATTAGCTCATCAGCTATCATTGGTGTTAGTGTGTTTTATGTGTGGCTCAAGACTATTTTTCTTCTTCTAGTGTGGCTGAGGGAAGTAAAAGATTGGACACTCCTCTTTCAAGTCATCTCCCTGATCCATTTCCTTACTTGTTTTCTTCATAGCACAGATCACAATACGCAATTTCCTTTCTATCTGTTGACTTATTTGTCTATGCCCCTTATTATTCTGTTGGCCCTTTGTGGTCAGGAGTTGCCCATTGAGGTCACTATCTACCCCCATGTCCCATACAGTGCTTGGTGCACAATAGCTATCTGATGAACAGATGAACTTATCTGACTTATCTGGCTGTGGCCATATATGGCTACCTTGAGGTGAAAGCCTACCCTAAAGACTATCTAGGACTTGGCCTGTGGTGCTCACGGTTGCCCACATTTCTCTCAGGCCTCAGGATGAACCGCAATGGTAGCATAAGATTGCTAGCTGCTCTCCTCTGCCCTGCCCTAACAGGGCTGCCTCAGTGATGTCACACAGGACAGGATTCTCTAATCCTTCTCATTCTCTATGCAACTAAATTTCTCAGAATATGATATGATGTGGGGGAGGGACAAAGGACGGCCAGGGTAGGGGGTACACCCTTTCCCTGAATGAAATTTATTTAGGGGCATTGTCTGCTCACATGTTCTGTTCTGGGAGAAAATGGGTAGCAGAAGCTACAATTTGTACTAAGCTAATGAAAAGAGAGAAGAGAAGAATGGGAAAAAGAAGTGTGAAGAAGGCAAAAAGAGAAGAGAAGAAAAAGAGAAGAGAGAGAAGGAGAAATGAGAAAAGAGGAAACCAAATGAAGAGGATATGTGAGAGAAAAAAATATGAAACAGGTAGTGAGGGAGGAAGGAAGAGTTGAACCTATGTTCCGGTTGGCTTTCTAACTCTTGAGTAGGGGAATTCTCAAGTACTAGCCCACTGAGGGGGTCACTCACATTACTGACATATATTTTGAGAAGCCGAGGCAAGTCTGCCTCAAGGGTGACTCTCCTGGAAAGTAATTTGATAACAGAAATGTAAACCTTTTTTTTTTTTTGAGACGGAGTTTCGCTCTTGTTGCCCAGGCTGGAGTGCAATGGCGCGATCTCGGCTCACCGCAACCTCCGCTTCCTGGGTTCAGGCAATTCTCCTGCCTCAGTCTCCTGAGTAGCTGGGACTATAGGCACGCACCACCATGCCCAGCTAATTTTTTTTTTTGTATTTTTAGTAGAGACGGGGTTTCACCATATTGACCAGGATGGTCTGATCTCTTGACCTCGTGATCCGCCCGCCTCGGCCTCCCAAAGTGCTGGGATTATAGGGGAGAGAGAGTATTGCTGACCAGATTAAGCTTTAGACTCCACCCTACAACCCCTGTTCTCACCTCAAACTTCCCAATTACTAGGCTATCAATATACACTAAATTCAGGGCTTTAAAGCCAATCTTGTAGATAATCTTTTTCCTTGTTAATTGAAATATAAACAGATTTCCAAAGCAGAGCAGGATAGTTTTATAATATACCTATGAAAATTACTAAAATGTTATCATCATGGCAAAATATTCCCACTAAAATCTTACTATGAACATCCCAAATATGTGTAGGAGGCCCAGCAAAGTCTTACAGTTTAGAAGGGAACTTTCAATCCTCTTTTTTCAATGTTCTTTCCCCCTTTGTTACAAGTCCCCCCACCTTAGCATAAGGTTTAATAAAAGTAGATACGATAATATTAAACATAATTAGATGATATTGATGTTTTTGTTTTAAATTGTAAAATGTTTATCTTATAACCCATGAGTTTCCTAGTTCATACCAAAATGTCCCTGCAAGCTGTATTCAGAAATAAAAAGTAGTAGGAAGGTGCCATTCTATCGACAGTCTGTACACTGTGCAGACTCCTTAAAAATCTCTCTGTTCATATTTTTTATTTCTCTCCCTCTTCTGCTATAATTGACCCAGATTCCCCAAGTGCAGAACAGAGACAAGAAAGGTGTGGAAGCCTAAAGGAAGGAAGCAGAAAGGCAGGGTTTTCAAGTTTTCTATGGTCCACTACTGTCACTAGTGACCCAGCTTCTGCCTTATGAGTAAGAAAATTTGTCTTTTAAGAGCACTCCAAATGGTGGTTGCCACATGAGCTTTTCTAGTTCAGAATGTTAATGAGTCCACTAGCATGCTACTCATGCTGTTACTTGTCTGGAGTATTAAGGATTCCAAGAAGGCAGTGTTTCAAAGATCTTTGATCTAATTTCCTTTTTTTTTTTTTTTGGCAGTTATGTGGAGAATTAGGAAATGTACCCTCAAATGATATTGAGACCAAATGCATACTGAATTTTATTTTTATTTTGTATATTTGGAAATGATCCAATTTGATTTTCTAAGAAATTCTAACCCCAGAGATACTGAGTAGAGTAATTGATGGGTTCCTTGAAGATTTGGTTTGCCAGTGACTGGCAATTATATTTGATCCTGTTGTTGGGTTCTAGGTCTAAAAGTGAAGGAAACAGAACTTTCCCCAAAAAGTCATGTTGAAAAAAACTGCAGATGGCTTTTTAAAACTTTAAAAGCAGCAAGAATGCCAGAAAGAATAAATAATTTGCTTTTGATCTAACAGTTGGGGCAACAAAATGGTTTAAGAGATGGAAAGTAGCAGGGTGCAAATTGTTAGAGTAAGCTCCTCAGATAAAATGAGAGCCTCAACAGAAATTTACCTTTTTTACTGGCCAGAACTAGATTCGGCCAGTAAAAGAACCTGCCTTCTACAATGCAGTCTTTGTTTTGTGTATCAGAACATCTTTTTAAAATACGGACTTTTCTTCTAACTTCTGTTCCTGCGAATGTGGTGTAGGTCAAATTCGTCAACTGGTTAAGCTGCTGACAAGATAGGGAAGGGCACCCCAGCCAATGGGAACCCGTGCTGGTGATGTACTGCTCCTAGGCTGCAATTCATTGGCTGCCTAAGGTTTGTCATTCTATCCCCGGCGTCTGCAAGCAGCGTGGGTCGGGTTTTCTAGCTAGCTAAACTGGATTTTGGCCGCCGGCACGTGTAGTTTCTATTAACTTTAGCTCATCTCTAGCTCTTAATAGAAGCAGCTGTTATGTTTCTGATTATCCTCCTGATTTTGAAAAAGCCTGTTCCTTTAACCTACATCATTGGAGGTCGTTGGAGGTACCCTGTGAGAGAATCACGTGATTATCTAACATGTGCAAATAAATACAATGTGGAATCCCCTAAGCTACAAAGGAAAAACCTGCCAGAAACTCAGAGAATGCGCCCCGTGCGTGAATCAGTTGCACTCGCACGTGGGTGGGCGGTGGTAGGGTGCGTGTGTCTCTGCCCTTCGGGACGCGAGGTGTATGGCCGTGGCACCTGCTTGGGCTTCCTGGGGTCAATGGGAGAGGAAACCTCCGGAGGAGTGGGACTCTGGGGTAGGGGGATCTGGCGGGCTGCCTGGGACCCATCATGGGTTCGAAGGGCAGCGGCCAGACCACGACGGCGCCCAAGAAGGGTGGACAGCTCCGGGTCCGTGGTCCGGGCTGCGTGTACACCACCTTCGCAGGTTCTGTAAATGCAGGAAGGCAGAAGAGACAGAGCTCGGGGTGCGGACGCCGTAGGGGGAACTTCCGAGTCCCCACTAGGCCAACGGCCGGGCGTAGAGGGGCTCTCGATCCACTGGGCACCTAATAGTCACACATTTCTGTCCAGTCCCTGGCGCCAGAACGTGAAAGCCCAAGTCCTGGCTGCTATCCGGGAAACGGACGCTCCCTCCGGCCTCGGCCTACTGGTCCAGGCCGCGAGTTGACGGCGGCGGCGGCAAAAGAAGCTGGGTAGGGCAGTGACGTCATCTGTGGCAGCCCCTCCCGCGCCCGCCGGCCCTCGCCGCAGTTCCTGCCCAACGACATCCGGGTCTCTCCAGCTGCTCGCCGCGCCTCAGCTGTAGCGGCGGCGGAGCCCGGGGGGCGGGGCGGGGCTAGCGGAGAGGTGGGGGGAGGGGCGGCGCGGTCGTGAGCGCGCCTGCGCGGGGCCGCGCTAGAGGCGGCGGCGGCGGCGGCGGCGGCGGCGGCGGCGGCGGTGGCGGCGCTAGGGACGGGGGCGCGCGCGAGAGCTAGAGAGCCGTGGTCTCGGCGCCGGTACGGCCCGCAGCTTCTGGTCCTTAGGCGGCTGCTGCTCCGGAACGGGTGGTTGGGGAGGGGGGGTGGGGGGAAGCCAGGCAGGTGAGGCGTGAAAGCGATGAGTCCTCGGCTCTTCCTCCTCCTCCGGGACCCGCTCTCTGCCTCCTTCTTCAACGCCCGGATGATCTGAGCCGCGAGGGCGCCGTGAGCCGGGGGCCCGGACGCAGCCCGGCTCCTCCCCTCCTCCGCCCCCTCCCCGGCCTGACCTGGCCCGCCGCTGCCGCGGTGACCCCCTCCCCGCCCCCTCCCCGGTTGCCGCCGCCGCTGCCGCCTCGGCCGACCAGGGAACTGCCCGCCTGCGGCTGCTCCGGGTAAGTGCGGCGCTCGGGCCGACGGCGGGCTGGCGGGCCTGCGCGGCGGCTGCGGCGGGCAGGCCTGGGGCCTGTAAACAAGCCGGGCGTCTGCCCGGGCGCTCCCGGGAGGAGACGCGACAACTCCACCCCCTGGCCGGCCTCCTCCCCCGAGCCGGGCGGCGGGTGGCGAGGGGTTAACGCTCGGCGAGGGCGGTGGCGGGGAGGCGGGGGCGGGGTGTTTCTGGCGGCGGCGCGACCCTCAGGCCGTCCGCGGCCAGGAGGGGTGTTTGTGGCAGCGACGCGGGCGAGGGCTGGCCTGGACAGAGAGCGGCCTGCGGAACTTTTTCTGAGCAGGGAGGGGGCGTCCCCGCGCCCCCAGTCGCCCGGGCGTGCCGCCCCGGCTGTCCTGGACTGCAGTCCCTGGGAGGGAGGCGGGGAGACTTCCTTTGAACCGGACTTAGTCTCGAAAAACCTAATTCTGGAGAAATTGCTTAAGGTTTTACAGGGGGCAGGGCTGAGAGTCTCCTTCAGAACTCAAGTCAGTGAGTGATGCTTCCAGTTCATTCATTATTAAGGCAACAAACAAATCCATTGAAGTAAATTCCGATTTCTCATCCTTCTAACTACGTAAATTGGGTAAAACTAATTTATGTTAGATCTTGGTTGAGGTATGGTTATGTCCTGCGTGTAGATTTTAAATAAACTTGGAGCCTTTTCTTGAAAGACAGCTGGCTGTGGAGAGCCTTCTACCTACTGCAGTTTTAGATACGTTTTGAAAATTTCATCACCTGAGGTATTTTTCTTGTCTCTCCTCAAACACCACATGGTACTTACAAATCCACAAAGGTCATCAGTTGTCCAAGCCATGGGATTTGTGCCACCCCCACCTCACCCAGGTTTCCTGCTAATTAAAATAGTGAGCTCAATGTATTTTAAAAAGTGAAGTGTATGAGAGATAGGTATCATTTTCTCAAAGGAAGTGATTTTGACATTATTAAGAGAAATTAGAAAATTTAAAAATTGTTATGTAAGACAGTCTTTTCAAGTTTGCACCTTGGGATTTTAAACACAACCACTTTTTACATGTGCTACGCTCCGAAAAGTGGAGGGATTTGAAACAGTACTCTGCTGAGACTTAGGGTTCCAGAGCACTCAGGGATTTAGCAGAGCTTGGCCCCCAACTCTGTTTGAAATACTTACTTTTATACTTTTATCTTGCTACATATTGTGCCTTTTCCAAAGATTGTATTTCTGTAACTCGTTGTTTTTCAAATGAGAAAAATTGAAACTACTATTTTCTATTCTTAAATGTTACCTTTATTGACTTAATGCTTTCTTTACCAATAAATAATTTGAAGCACAAAGTAACATTTCCCAGTGTTACAGTTTTGT